CTATTATGGTTTTATTTGTCCCTATTAATTATAGTATGTTTTGTTATAGAGATTGTTAGCACTTTATTGTTCAATAGTTATGATTGCTTTTTATAGCTTGTTATTAAGAACCTCATGTAGTAGGTAGGTGTTAAAAGAGTTTCATAGATAAGCATTAAAGAAAAAATAAAACCGATCACTAATATAACATATATTATATGAACTAATAAATACATTAAACAAAAGAAGTTAAAAATATTATAGCATTACTTAACTATATTATAACATTAGTTACTTGGCAAATTATCACAAACTCACAATCCTTTTATAGAAAATATAATTACATAAAATAATTTGACATTTATGATAAACCATTGGTTGGAATCTACATTATGTGATTGAACGCCCCATCAAATAAATTTAAGAGCATTATTATTATAATTTTTAGTTTTATAAATCTCTAGTAGTACTCGGTAAAATATAAAAGAGACAAAAGGAGAATCCTAGGTTCAAAAACATATTCATTAATGAATGTATATTTTTCATTATTACATATTCATTAATGAATGTATATTTTTCATTATTTTTGTCTGCTTGAGAATCTCTATTATTTCCTTTCTATTAGACTATTCTAACTTCAGCCTATTTTAATGATTATCTTCATGTATGAAATAATCTAAAATCATAAAGCTACTTATCTAAACCATTTTTGAACAATGTTTAATTCTCATTTAAACATGATTCGAATATGGTTCAAATCATGGTCAAACGTGGCTCTATCCATGCTAAAAAATGGTTCACAATTATTTGAACTTGGTTAAAAGCTCATAAATGAGGTTTGAACCTTTTTTAAGAATCACTCCAAACAAATTATTGCATATATTAGTCAAATCCTAGGTTCAAAATAGATGTTCAATCTTTGTTCAAAAATAGAACATGCGCTTAAACATTTGACTCTTCATATTTGTTCAATGCTTTTTATTTCCTTTTCAAACATAGGGTTCTCCTACTACGTCGTTCATCCACCTCACCACCACAATAAATAATTCAATAATGATGAGAACATAACAAACCGAGATATCCTTGTATTCCTGAAAGAGTCCTTATAAGAACAATTAAACTCAATGAACCCTTCATGCCATGATCCTTCTTATATTATCCCTTCATTTAAGGTGAATATTGCATTGTTCCATGAGATTCATTGACTATAGTTGCCAATGCCACAACACATGTTGCTTGGAACAAATATAAGGGCATCCTCCATCCATTGGTTGTCAAGTCAATCCTCAACTCAACCAAAAAAAAACACCTGCAATGATATGTATATAGGATTGTGTTATGCCTTGCTTACCAAGCAAGTCAGCAAAAGGCCAATTCCTTAAATGAAAGTGAGGTCCATTGGCTTATATATTTATCTAATTAATTCCACTCCAACAAGTGGCCCACATATACTACTTATAACTCCAAATATAACCACAAAAAAATTACAAAAATTAATAAGCAAACTAGCCACCATGTTAACTTTTATGTTAAAATCTAGTAATCTTGTGCTTTGGTGAATCCAACGTATGACTGTTGGATTCAATAAACGACAACAAGCATAAATAAACTTTTATGTTATTTAATGTTAGATGTCACTTTGTCTATATTATAATGAGATTCATTTTGGTTGAAGGAATTTATATAGGAGGTTTTTATTCTATTAACTTCATCCAAATAGTCCTCATTGTGAAGAGTGTTGAGTACTGGCAATAGAATAAACCTTAACACCTCGTGACATTCCAAAGAATGTTAAAACCTAACATTCAATCATTAAAGTCATTCTCATATTAGGCATTTGACTGTCAATATATGATTGTCTTCTCCTAAAATATGATTAATGAAGAACTCAAAGGGAAATCACTCATGTTATCTTAGTTATTCCTAAAACCACATGTTCTTTTTATTAGTTGTTGCCCATGTGATGCTCTACTCCTCCAGCTCTTACTAAATCATCATCTTCTTCACCTATCTTTCCTTAAGCTTCTCTTAAATTATCTTTATTTTCATTTCTTCTACAGAGATGGACATAGCCTGTAAAATGAAGGATTATTCTATATGGGCCAAACCTTGAGCACTATCTTAGACCTTCTTTATAAGCTTTTTCATCTCTTATGCATTTTTATTTCATTACTTCTAAACTTATACTAAGTCACTTAAAGTGAGCACTCCATTTTAGATCCTTCACCACATTAGTAAATTTTGGGAAGAGCTCTCATTTTTATAATTTTAATGGTCTTATTACCAGATGGTGTAAAGCTGAATATAATAGGCATTAGTCAATTGTGTGATAAAAAATTTGAAATTTATATTCATGTTTGCTAAGCTAAAAAATATATAAAACAAGTTTTTGCTACTATAATATTTGTATGTTTGATATTAATAATATTTGTAAAAATAATTCTATTAAATGGTCAATCACTATAGTTAAATTACTCAAGGATCTATAAGTGAACACCACCAATAAGAATATAAGGCTATTATTAATTATGACATCTTGATGCTCATTTGGTTAGGAGAGACAATCCACCCTTATCCCTGTTAAAAGGGGATGCTCTTAAAGAACTCTTTTAGCTAATATTCTATGTTGTAGGAAGAATACAATGAATTTACAATGAAGTTTATGGCTAAAGGCATCTCATCATTTAACTTATGTTTATAGAAATCATAATATATAGACATTAGTGAAGAAAATAAAGAAAATAAGAAGATAATACTAGAGAATATGAGAAAGTTAGGGAAGACAAAAGAATAAAAAGATGAATGATATCCTTATTGTCCCTTTATATTCTTATGTATGCGCTTGATATAGAGGGGTGATAAGTTGCTTCTTGTGAAGTAAAAGCATCATGCATCTTCACCTCTTTAGGGTTATAACTATCATCATGATTAATTGCACTAAGAAGAAGAAATCAGTGACACAATTGATGATGGCAGTGTGACATTCAATTAGCTGGGGGAGGAGAGCACTCATAACTGTCACAAGAGGAGGAGTTCGTTCAATTATAATATTATATAAAAGGAGGTGTCAGACTAGGATGAAGTTTATGGCAAAAGGCATCTCATTGTCTAGGCATGCTTTGGCAAAAAAATTGTGTATGTAAATGATAGTGAAAACAATAAAACATAACATATGATGATGCTGGAGAAGACATTAATGAAGAAAACAAAGGATACTCTCCTCATTGTACTTTTATATAATTATATAGGTACTTGTTTCAAAGGGAAGATATAATAGTATTATGACATTCAATTAACTAGGGTTCATATAGCTCTCATATCTATCATAAGGGGATGTTTAGTCAATTATTATGTTCCATATAGGAATGAGACATCAAATTCCCAATGAAGTTTGTGGCACAAGGCATCTCATCATCAGGGAGTACTTTGTCGATAAATCATGTATGTAGATGATTGTGAAAGTGATTAAATATAAAGATGATAAAACTAGAAAAGACATGAAAGAAGAAGACAAAGAAGATTCTCCTCACTATCCCCTACATATTTATATAGGTGCTTGTTGTAAGGGGTGACAAAATTTTCCTCAGAAATGCCTCTTTGCCAACTTGATGCTATAATGATCATTGTGATGGCTTGCCATCCCATTATGCCAATAAATTATTTTGTCATATTACTACTTCTAGTGGGTGACAATGGTAACTTGACAACATAAAAATCCATCATGACATGAAATTTCTAACATCTCTTCCCTATGATTTGTAGGAAAATATGATTAAATTTCTTTCCAATGTTTAATACAAATGAACTATATTGCTGGTCACTCCAACAAATATGTCCATCTAATGTCATTTCATTTAAATATGTCCTACATTCTTGATCCCTTCATTGTTCATCCTCCTTGCAATATATATTTTACCCGACAAATGCATATTTATGCACATAGATTAGGGGTGCAAACGAGACTAGTCGAGCTCAAGTCTGACCTAACTCGATCTCAACTCGCGAGTAAAATCAAGAGCTCGAACTCAAGTTGAACTCAAAAGGTGAGCTAGAGCTCGGCTCTTGCCACTAAAATCGAGCTTGTGAGTAACTCGTGAGCCTTATGTTGTCTGCCTTCGCCCACGCTTGCGCGGTCTGCATTTGCCCGCGCTTACGCCTTCTCACGCATAGACAAGCCGCTTAACGTGTACTCGAGTCGAGCATCACCTGAGCTCAAGCTCAATAATCCAACGAGCTCAAAATTCTACTCGAGATCGAGGTAGAAACTCGATAAGCTCCTTTCGCAAGTTCGAACCGGCTTGGCTCACTTACACCCTTAACATAGATACATTCAAAAAATGTAAAAAAAATACAAAAAGTTGTAAATTGAGAAAATTTCTAAAAAAATTTAAAATAAATGTATGAAAAATCTAATTTTTAGAAATTATACTATCTTAAAATATTGTTCTAAAATATAGTTAAATAATGTGACATATAATGAACCATGAAATTATTTTGATGAACAAATAATTGAAAAAAAAAAGATTATATCTTGCCAAATAAAAAGCTAATAATTAATTCATTAAATTTTAATAGATGTCGATTCGTGGAGGCTCTAATTTTGTTAAGAACAAAAAAAAAATCAAAATATTATATAAAAGTAGTGGTGTCAAAACGAGTTAACGTGTCGGGTTCAAAACCGACTCAAAATTAGCTTGACTTAAATATAGTCAATCCAAACCTTATTCGTTTAATAAACGAGTTAAAAATACTAATCCAATTTCATCTCGTTAACCCATTTTGATTAATATTAATTTTTATAACATATTAACTACAAAGTTTAGGTTGTTTGATAAATGAAAAAATCATACACATTGGTAAAAATTTGAGAAAAAATTATTTTTGAGTAAAAAATAATTTAATGGGTTAATTTAAATATAACTTGCTTAATAAATGAGTTAAAAATTCAATAAAAAATTTAATCGGGTCAACCCGAATTTGAAGCAGACCAATCTGGTAAAATCCGGTAATAGTAAAGTCTACGAGCAAAATCAGCCCTTCCATCTATCTACCTCTTTTCTTTTCTTTTCCTCTCGCATACGATCCGCAGTCCGCAGACGAAAGATCCAAAGCCATGGCCGCCCTTCGCCGCCTCTCGTTGTCGTCTATTCCACCCCTACGCAGGATAGTATCCCGCTCCTTCTCCTCCGCCTCCAATGATGACCAGACTTTGCTCACCATCGAGACATCGGTCCCCTTCACCGGTCACAATATCGATCCCCCATCCCGCTCCGTTGAGACCACTCCGAAGGAGCTCCTCACCTTCTTCCATGACATGTCATTGATGCGCCGGATGGAGATCGCTGCCGACTCACTCTACAAGGCGAAGCTCATCCGCGGCTTCTGCCACCTCTACGATGGTCAGGAGGCAGTCTCCATCGGCATGGAGGCTGCAATCACCAAGAGAGACGCCATTATAACTGCATACCGAGACCACTGCATCTTCCTCGGCCGCGGTGGCACCCTTTTGGAAGCGTTCGCCGAGCTCATGGGCCGCCGTGCTGGTTGCTCCAAGGGCAAGGGCGGATCTATGCACTTTTACAGGAAGGAGACTAACTTTTATGGCGGACATGGAATCGTTGGAGCGCAGGTTCCGCTTGGATGTGGGATTGCTTTTGGGCAGAAGTATTGTAAAGATGAGACGGTAACGTTCACGATGTATGGCGATGGAGCGGCCAACCAAGGGCAACTTTTTGAGGCTCTCAACATGTCAGCGTTGTGGGATTTGCCAGTGATTTTGGTGTGCGAGAACAATCACTGTGAGTTTTCTTCATTTTCTATTGAAACTCATCTTTTCCGTAGACTGTCTTTCTAATAATTTGGTCTTTTATTGGTTTGTAGATGGAATGGGTACGGCAGAATGGAGAGCAGCGAAGAGTCCTGCCTATTACAAGCGTGGGGATTATGTGCCTGGGTTGAAGGTGAGAAAGAAGAGATCTTTTTCTAAAATGATTAGTATTGGGCCTTGATCTTGTTTATTTATTCTAGTTTTGACCTAGTTCTTTGCAATGATATTCTTACAGATTTTCTCTTATTCATTAATTATTTAACTCATCAACAATTAGGATCAGCTAGAATCCTAGAATAGAGCCAAAGGTGCGCGGATTGAGTGGTAGATGCCAGAGTAATAGACTGCTTTATTTTTGTTCTGGGCATCCATGATTTGCAAAATAAAAATGATGAATCTACCTTGAGAGTAGAATATCTAGTCATCTTTTGGGAGGATTTGAATAATCTAATGAATCATAGATTATTTGTGACAACCTAGCTCGTAAGCTCATTGTAAATCGAGGTGGCAGCGAATGATCGTGATTATGGATTGTCCATGCCATTTTCCAATAAAATAACGACAAAATTATAGTGACGTAAATAATATTACAATTTCATTCTTTCATGAAAGATAATTTCTATCCAAAAAAAAAAAAAAAAAGATCTTTTAAATCGAAAACAAACTAATAACTTAGAATTGTGCTTAACTTCCCCATTTCTTTCCTAGTGCTCTTAACCTTCAATGACCCCATCAAGCTCGATCTTGTCTAAAAAATATCAACATACATTGAGGTGAGTTTTAAAAATATATTTAAGTAGATAATTTACATTTCTTGATTGCAATATTTCTGAGGAAAACAATAGCAGTTGTGAGTAGAACCAATACTTGATTGCAATATTTGAAATAAAGTCAAAATTGAAAAATTGAACTGAATTGAATTCATTTGATTTATTTGTTTTGATTGTTAAAGTATTGGTTCTATCATTAGTTCTAATTTTGAATTTATTTGATTTTTAGTTATTTGTTTGAATTTTTATGTTTTTTTGAAGAGACAGAGCCATCACCTCTTCCTTTCAATTTCAATCCATAGAAGCAAGAATCTAACTCTATTGTTGTCCATTCTTGTTACTATTGCCTTAGCTTCAGGCTGCTTGGGCACGCATCGCCTGCCATTTTAGTTAGCACCGCTCATCGATCTTGATTGTGCTTGTAGGCTTGCCTCCTTGTTCATTCGCATCTCATCTCTCTCCCTACTTGCTCGCTCCTTTCCTTCGCAGCTCTCCCTTTTTTCTATCTTATGTTGCTGAACTAGCTCCCTTCTCTCTCTTTCTCTCTCTCTCTCTCTCTCTCTCTATTTCCTTTTAACTTTCATTTGGCTTGGTTTAAGTTAGCCATTTAGATTTAATCCCCTTATATATATATATATGCAATAATAGTATTATAATTTATAATTTATCTCTTACAAAAGAAACATTAAGTCATGAATAAGAAATATCTTCTTAATAGATATTCACTTAATCTTGCAATTTTATTTAATCTTATTATTTATTATATCTTTATTGTAAAAATGTTTTAAAATAAATTAATCCAAATGGATTTGTAATCATAATTACATAATGTTGGCATTTTAGGTATTCTGATAATATAAAACTTTCAATTACCATCATAATTGTTTTTAATAATTACTAATTAAATAACTAAACTTAATAATTAAAATTAATCAATTTACTAATTTTGCATTTTTAGTTATTATTTATCTTTGTTGTTATGTGAGTATTACATAAAATTTGCTTGATTTGGGTCATTTGAAAAGGGAACGACAAATGCTTTGGGTAGGACAACTTATAAAAAATAAGAAAAATTTATAATTAATTAGCGAAGAAGATACATGAAAATGTAGTTGCATAGGATTGCCATCAAGAAAGAAAAAAGGAAATAAATCAGATCAAGTTAACATAAAACATAGAGAGTAATTAATATCTTAGAAGAGTGGATCATACAAATATTCAAACTTCAACCAAGTCCATAATGCCAAAATTGCTAGGAGAGTTATTACGGTTTGCTTGAATCTAGTAAATTTGGAAGAGTTGAGAAAGACTTTCTTTCAATTATTCCCTCAATGATTAAATATTAGTTGAAATGTTTTATCCGCTAAATCAATTAAATGTTTTGATAGATTATTGAAATTGAACTGAGCTAGCATCATCATCTACTTTAGAACAATCAATTGTAACATTGGTGAATTCGGATATAATATTGCATGGAGAAGATTTTTGAAGAATAGAAGTAGGATCCTTAATAGGCTGACAAATGTCAGGCCTTGGCATGACTTTTGGTACATAAGCATAGAAATATCATATTAACCATTATGACCCTTCCATTTTTTGATTATTTAGACCGAGGCTAAATTATAATTGATGATTGGTTTGGTTGCTATTAATCATTATGACCCTTCCATTTTTGATTTTTTTTTGGTTTTCAATGTTGGAAGTATTTGTTGGTCCAGAAAGAAATACAACATTAAGGTTATTCAGGATTTATTCAGGATTTCAATACTTAAACCTTGTAATTCTTCCAGTGATGATTACTATTATTGATTACTCTATAATAGCCATAGAAAGTTAAATAAAGCCCGAAATGTACCCAAATCAACTCAAATGCTCGAGGAAATACTACCTCTATGGTATTTGTGAACAGTTACTCTGATTCTTTAGATGGACAAACACACCTCTATTAATAATTCCATCAAGGTCAGCCGCCAAATTGGATTCACCCAAAACCGTTGCTTTTCCTTTTTATAATAAACAAACAAGTTTTGATTTTACATTAAAATTGTTTGGTGTGATACTAGAATAATAGCCAAGAAAATGCTTGAGCTTCTCCTAGTTGACCTTTAAGATAAACACTTATATCTTATTTGATGCGCTTGTTTGCATTTTACTGGGTCTGCATTTCTCCTGTGATTTGCTTAGCTTGACTTAGCTTGCCATAGTAGTGATTCATTGATAGCAGTGCATTTGATTATGCTATAATTGGGGTAGTGTTGCTGGACAAACAGAAATCGTTAGATGGAAATAGTGATGCATTTCTCATTCCTGATAAGCAGTAGGTTTGGTCATTAAGCGTCTTAGGTGTATTTGACTCAATGACCTCTTTTCTTTGATTTAAACAAAGGATTTAGATGATTCATATTGTGTTTTGGAAAATGGTTCTTTTGCTTAGTTCTTTTTTCTTGTTAATTGATACTTTTCTTTTAGATTTGCATTCAGCACGTCTACAATGCCATTGTTTTTTTGCAATACTTCGACAAAAATATAACTTCTTCACATTTTTGGTTATGAGACGTCTCTTTATGAAACTTGGATTTATGTTTCTCAATTTCTTAACTGTATGTCATAGCTATAGTTTGTTTACATTCATGGAGCTTATCTTAACTCCCCTTTGAAGAATCAGTTGTAGTACTGAGTTAAACAAGTCGATTGATGCTGTTCAGCTCTATGGAACTTGTGCTTTCCGGGATAACTATCTATTGAAATTTGATTGCTTGTTTTATAAGTCCAATTTTTGCTATATATTGTAGATAAAAGATGGAAATGTCTTCATGATCTTTGGCTTTTTACTCTTTAAAATCATCATGATAAATCCTCTTCCAGAAATTTCAAAGTTTTACTTCTTGGTCGCTTGAATCCTAGTCCAACCTTTCATATTTGCTGTGTATTTGGAATCTAACACGTTAATATATACAAACTTATCATATTTCTGGCAAATTGCTATACAATTGAGCAAAATATATGAAGATACAAGTTTACAAGAAAGACTGTTGAAAATTTTACTCCATTTGTTGTTCAGTTTTTGTGCGCAGTGATTTTCATAAATATTTTGTTGGAGTAATCCACATAATCTAATATTAAAACAGTCAGAAGTTCCAGAGCTTGAATAATTGAGTGTGGAGTTGTTTAGCATTTCTGTTTCTTTTCGAACCTTTTTGCTGTTTTAATAGCTTCTGTTGAATTACTGTACCGGCCTAGAGATATAAATTTTTACGTATTATTTGGACAGGTTGATGGTATGGATGTTCTTGCAGTGAAGCAAGCATGCAAATTTGCTAAAGAACACGTATTGAAAAATGGACCTATGGTGAGTGATTAGTTGCTTTGATTTAATTTTTCTTGATTGCCGAGTTTCCAATGTATTTGGCTACATATAATTATGTTTTTTCTGCTGCTGTTCGAAACAAGTTTTTTGCTTGTTCTTATTTTTTATATCAAGCTGATTCATTATTAAAATTGCCATAATTATTATTAGCCTTATCGTGACTATTTGTACTCTAATCCTAGCTAGTTTTTTTGTATAATTACTATCGTTATTATTAGCCTTATCTCAACTATTTGTATTCTATCCATAACAATTTTTATTGTGCATTCTTATTTTTTATATCAGTCATTTTCATTCTCAAAATTGTCATCATTATCTTTAACTTTATCTCAATATTTGCAGCCAAAGTTGTCGTTTTTCTTTTTTTGCTTTTGGGTGTTGTAACTATGAAGTGTTAAAATTATTTTTAGTAAACCCCTAGCATAACTTTCATACATTTACCTTTGGTCTCTCATTTTCTTCATAATCCTTTGAAACTATTTGTGCGTGTTTGTCTTATTGGTATATATTCTATTTTTTATATGCCTAAACTACCAAGTCTATTTTACACCATATATGTTCTACTTTTTTCTATATTTGTCTAAACACCATATCATGCTTTGGGAGCCTTATATAACTCAATTATCTCTATTATGGCAACTTACTAGAAGTTTATGTGAATCATGCTTATTAACTTCCTAGTCTATGACACATGTTTCTCTATTGACTTAAAAAAAAAGGCAAAATTGCCACTCCTCATTTTCCACTACAACAATAGCCTTTTGAGAAACATTCCTATCTAACAACTGAGTAGAAAGCATCATATTGCCGACCATGTTAACTTGACGCTTCCACAACATTAAGTGAAAAAACATGCCTTTCCTTCTTTTGGCTATGCAAATAAAAGAAGAAGCTAAATCTACCTCCACAAACAAAATCATTCATTCCTTCCATTTTTTTTTCTCTTCCCCTTCTTCATATGTGATATGCTTTTCTTCTATCATTTGCACCTCCATCGTAATTTTCACTGATCGAATAAGCTACACTCCAAAATTTACATAACTCTATCCTTGGTACCTAAATCTTGATTCCAACAACCATTTGTTGTAATATTAACAATTTTCAATCTATCTTTCATTGTTTTGACACACATTCATATTTATATTCGCATTTCTGCCATGCTTTACTTGGATATCAATAATTTCCTCATCACCCACCACTAAGATCCACATGATGTAGCTAACCTAATTGCAATTTTTAAAAATGAACCTTTTGGTCTCCATGATATTATCTCATGCTTAGTCTCCTGAGGCACTTTTTTTATCTTAACCATCTAGGCTTGACTTTAGTAGTTATATTCTCAAAATTAAATGATATGAAGTTGTTTTATTTCTATTTAATTGAATTTGAACTTTGTATGTGATAACTTGCATTCAGTAGTGGGATGAGAGAAAGAAGAGAAAATGGTATTGAAAGGAAAGACTTGAGATATTTGTCTCTGTGTGAGAGAGAGGCATGTATAGCTCAAAATCAATTATTTATTATATTCACCATAGAACAATTAAAACAAGCAATATATGAAAAACATAAGTTAAGTACAAGTAATGTAAAGCTGTGGAGATCAATGTGCACAAATGATTTTTACGTTGTTCAACCAACTCTAAGACTTATACACATAGCTAACATCTAGATTAGAACTCCATTGCCTTTTGCAATAAGCACAAGAATCTTCTTAATAGGATAAAGAAGCCCTCTACATCAACACATTTTCTTTTCACTTAGTGCAATCGAGTGTACTTTCCTACACCAAACATCTACAACTCCAAAATCTCTAGACTAGAAAACTTTTCCTAGAATCAAAATTTTCCAAAATGTTTGAGGTGATTGTTAAGGACACCTTTTAATTTACTTGTAGTCTCTCTTCTAGATTGATGTGTACAATGAAACTAATTTCTTAGGCATTAAATATGAGGTGGATATAATAAAAAATATACTTTTTGAAGTAACATAAATTAAGCAAGTGATGACAATATCAATATGATTCAAACCTCAGAGTTAATGTGAAATATTTGATTTGATTGTTCGCTTCATGTTGGACCTACTAATGAAAACACTAAACAACTTTATTTTGAAATGCTTGTAGAAATAGTTTAACTTGAATACTCTAATAAATATGATTATAGTTTTATAATGAGTGTTATTTGTTTTGCAAAATTTGTAATTTTAGTTTTTGTAAATCCTAGAAATGAAAGTGTAACACTTTAAAAGCAAAAACTTTATTATTGATCTAATGAACTTGAATGAATTGCAAAGAATGTTCTGACTCAAAAAATATTGCAAATAAACTTTGAAGATGGAAGGCTTGTTTAATTTCATATACAAGAATAACTTTAAAGAATTGTAATAAAAGAAGTTTACACATAAAATAATTTTTCTGATTTTAAATAAGCCAATGAAAACCGTCTTTATCTTACAATACTTCTAAGCTTGAAGTGACACTTATGTTGAGACCTTAGTAACATTCTCGGACTTAATCAATTTTCTTATTTTGTTCTTTTATCTTTAGGTAATTAGACCTATAGCTTGTAAAGTATAATCAAGAAAATAATTTATGGGGGTTTCCTATATAAACACTGCAATAATTATTTAAGAGGGGAGGACTTAATAACATTGGTTGGAAACATTAGTTCCCTATTTTGTGTGTCATGAGAGTTTTTTTTCTTACGTGGTGAAGTTTGAATTGGGATGAATTATTTTGTGCGGACACCGGACGGGGAGAACTGTTTGGTTTGTCTCACAGAGACAAAACCGGACGGTTCCCGTCCGGTGTACACACAGAATAATCTCTCCTGAATTGGGTAGGTGTAGGAATGTAGCCCACTTCTTTTCAGGATGTCATCATTGGAACATGAAAAAAAGAATGTCAAACACTAGTGATTGATGTAGCGTGTGGAGGAAAGAGCATAATGTCATCTTTGTAGGCTATCACGATAAGCTGCAGTATCATTTGGTACCAGAACTAGAGGAACAAATAGTGACCTATCCAACAAAAAATGGGATGTTGCCTCGAAGGAACAATCAGCGACCAAACAAGAAATTGTGATTGAAGAAATACAGCTAGAAATACTGTACTTGTAGCATTATCCTGCCGATTTCAAAAACAACTACTTGGGGAACTACAAGTCTGTCCAGTGGCCATCATGAGGAGGAAAAGGTGAACCTGTTTGGTCAAGAAGACTTAATTGATGAAGTTTCTCATTGACGACCACTAGATCGAGATGCAGGAAAATTGGCTTATGTTTTTTGGATCAAGTTTTATATATTGGGTTTTGAAGAAAGCTTAGATATGGGTGAATTCATTACTTGGATTTATATAGTGGAATGAGTTTTCGAATATAAAGAAGTTTTGCCGGAGTAGATGATTAAACTTGCTGCCATCGAATTGAAGAAATTTTCATCAATGTGATGGGAGAATTTGAGAAAAAAATGCTGGAGTGAAGGGCGTAGCAAGATTACTTCTTGGCTCAAAGTGAAAAAATAATTGCAGCGAATATGTCTTCCAGATTATTATTTCCAAGAAAATTTCCTTAAGCTTCATAATACTCTAACAAAGGGAATTGTCAGCAGAAGAATTTGCTATCAAACTTTGGTAGCTCCTGTTTAAATGCAATCTTGTGGAAGCTGAAGAGAACAAGATTGTTCAATTTCTTGGAGGATTGTGGTCAGCTATGATGCACGTACACGGACACGGAGACACGGACACGGGACACGACTTTTTTTGAAAATATAGGACACGGGTACGGCGCAGACACTGCAATACATTTTTTATATAGTATATATATATATATATATATATATATATAATATATATAGGACCAAGCTGAGAGCTCAACCTGATTTTTATCAAATCAATATAATAATTCGAAATTAAAAAGAAGGCATCCATCTTGTATTCTTCAAACTGCATCGGTTAATTTTGTTAGTCAGTTGGTTTGTGAACAAAATTGGCCATATAAAATTATATTATTTTTCATAACACTTTGAATAATTTGATTAAATAATTTTGTAAAAAAATTGGTGTAGCTAATTTGACTTGTGACTAGATTGTATGACTTATCGCAAAGCACTAATAGATTGAACAATGTTAACATCCATTCCACATTGCGCTGATTTTATGTCACTTAAACAAATTCCATGAACATTGCTTTGCTATAAAAAGAGGAAATAATGCATTTTTAAGTATTTTTGAAATACATGAAAAATTTATTTGGTAACTTTTAGTTTGGGTTTGCTTGGGGTTCATGAAATGATCCTAATGGTTATTCCTTACTAAGTGATCTTGTGGCAAGATTTTCATCACCAGGCACCATGGACTTTATGCCTATCTTCTATTTTATGCAATCGGTGTGTGCCAATTCTAGCACCCAAGCGTCAACATTAATGACTTTATGTGATGTGAAACATATATGGAAACAGGAATTGCGTGGGAATTAATAACAAGTTATAAAGCTTTGATAATTGTGAGCTCAATGTTTCACCAAGATAAGGATCTAGGAGTTCTTAGTTGCAATTATATATGCTCTGATAGTTAGTTACACAGAAGATTACTAGAACAATTTAAAATAAAAACAAAATTTATAATAACACTAGATGCATAATAACAGAATCCACCGTTTAACAAATAGAAATTCACCTTCAAGTTTCCCTCTCTTTTACTCTTGATAGTGGGGTTAGCAGAAGAACAACTTCAGTAATCCTAGAGATGCCACCTAAATAAACAGGACGTCTACGATCTTGATCCATAGAAGGTTAGCCGGAGGCATGGTTTAAAATTGTGCAATATGAGGCTCGCCTTGAGGGTCTGCCTTTGCGCAATTCCAATAAAAAATGCCTCGATGCTTACGCCTCAAGTTTTTTTTATGAGGCTTGCGCCTCAACTTGGTTGAGGTCCGCCTTGAGGCCAGCCTCGCCTCACTGGCATGAGGCTTATGCCTCACGCTATATATATTAAAACTTACATAAATCTTGAAGTAAATGCCCGACATTGGACTCTATAGGAGAGGAGGAAGGGGAGAGAGCAATTAACCATAATGATGATTCAAATGAAGAACCCCTTAGTGATGACAGTGCTGATGACTTATGAGTTCTTATGTGATATGTCATTACTATTTATTTTTGGAAATTGGAATTATATGTTAATGAAAAGAATATTGGGATTTGGGAAAGATAGAATTTTGAGTTGAACTATATTTCATGTTGTCTTATTATTGAGATATTTTGATTTCACTTCATTTCTTATATTTTTTTATGTTTTATATTATTCACTTATTAGTATAGAAAAAATTTATCATTTTATGTTTACACAATCTTTTGATTTTGAGGCTTCGCCTCACGAATGAAAAACGCCTCTATACCCGAATACACAATTTTAAACATTGGCCGGAGGGGATGACACGGGGGGATGTCCGATGGTTCGCCAATGTCCGTAGGGTTGGTGTTCTTCAATAGAAGATGTCAGGTGAAGAGGATGTGGTCGAAGTATTCGTCGACGGTGTTGTCAACTTCTAGATTGAGATCGAAGAACGGAGATTGTAAAATATCCACTAAGCCTTGTTGGTCGTAGACGAATCCGCGTTCATGCTTGGGATCCGCCATCCATGGAGGAAAGGAGATCCAATAGTAGCATATCTTCCTCCTTGGATTGTTGGTGTAGCAAGGGAATAGGAAAATAATGGAGAAGGGGTTAGGGTTTGACCAATACTAGGGGAAGGGCCAATGTTGAACTCCAAATTTGGGGTGGATGGGACTTAAACTAAAATATGAAATTTAAATTAAAAATTTAATTCAAAATTTTAGTAAGAAAGGAGGGAATAAATTTCAAAATTGAATGTCCAATAATGGAGGGTTATGGGGGGCGGATTTGCTTGGAAAAAGGCTTTGATTGAAGGCCTTAATGAGAAGAATTAATTAAGGAGAGGGAGAGGGAGAGGTCCAGCCATATGGGGAGAGGGAAAGATGTCCACATACAATGTATGTGGACCCATGCATTAATGGGTGAAAGGAATTAATTAGAGAGAGAGAGAAGCAAGAGGGGCATCAGCTAGGGAAGGAGGGAGGGAATTGGGGAGGAATTTAAGTGGTTTCCAAATTAGGGTAATTAAATTAAAGAGATTAAATCTAGAGGATCTCTTCAATTTAATTTCAAATTTGAAAATATTTGAATTTGGAAACTTTCCAAATATAGATAGGCTAATTTAAGAAAGGATTTTAACTCAATTAGGATTGGAATTTGAAATTGAAATCTTCCCAAATTGAGATGCAATTTATATGGAAAGGAAGTAATTAGGAGTTTGAAATGTGGAGGCAAAGAAGGCCCTATGCTGGCGGCTAGGGATATGACCAGACAAGCCGGCGGCTAGGGAGAAAGGAGGTGGGTCTAGGGGTGGGGCTTGAGCCATGGGCTGGGGAGAAGGGAGGCAAGCTACGGGGGATGTGGATGGGAGGCTTAATCGACAGTTTGGGGTGGGGGATGGGGAGGCCGATGGGTTGGAAGAGGAAGGGTTGGCCGGCGATGGGGGAAGGGAAAGGAAAAAAAAAAGAAAATACAATGAATACGAACCGCGAGCCCGACCTGTACCGGCGGCTGACGGGTGATGCTTGACCCTCTCCTAGGGTTCTCTTTTCTCTCAAGAACTCACAAGAAAGAAGAAGACAAATGTTGGAAATTTCATTCAAATTATCATTAACCCTAATACAATGGCTAAGGCCTTAATATATAGGCCTCCAAAATCAAGGAAAAAAAAGACTTACATGTCCTCGGGGCTACAACATAAAAGAGATCCCTCACAGGGGTACAATAGTAAAACTGAAATAAACATAAAAGAAATACATAGATGCATCATAAATAGAGACTCTGAATCGTAGCCGTCGATTTACGATTCCTCCGATGATAGACTAGTTGAAATCTTCTGCTGATGTCCTCATCATTATGTTTGACCCTTAGACAAATTGACTTTGACCTACTTCACACTCCCAAGTCATTTGATAATCCACGATAATTTAAATTTTTTCACTCATTAAAGTTGGTTACAAAAATCTATGAAGCTTTGCGAATTTATAATCTCTTGAAGGAGTCGGGTGCAAACTGAAGTGCAATTTATTGTGCAAACTTAAATCTCTCCATGTTGTTTTATTTAGATTTCTCCATGTTGTTTTAGTTGGATAATTTTTGGAGTTCATCTTTGAACCATTGTTCTTTTGTTAGGTTATTTTCTTTATTGTGCCTTCGAGGAATTGGCTTGTTATATAAAGACTTGTTGTTGTTGCCTTCAAGGAATACTTGTTAGATATTGATATAATCATTTCGTAGTGTATCTCCATATGATATCGGTCTCTAGGTGGCTTTCATTGAGGCCGCCGGAGGGACCCGGTTTCATGTTTGACAGGAGCATTCTGTTTGAAGGGCATTTTGAACATACGGTTTGGTATCATACTTTGATAATTAGCCATTTCTGCACTTTCCTGCTGTTTAATAATATTAGGTTGACTCCATCTTTCTTTTAGCATCACATTAAAGTTGACCAAACTCTGAGTATCTTATATTTTCCTTATACGCAGATCCTTGAAATGGATACCTACAGATACCATGGTCACTCTATGTCTGATCCTGGAAGCACTTACCGCACGCGTGATGAGATTTCGGGTGTAAGACAGGTCAGTTATTTCTGAATCTTTGGCTATTGAAGTTCTTTCAGTTAGTGATTGATTTGACCGGCCATCTATGTAATGCTTTTTACAGGAGCGTGATCCAATTGAAAGAGTTAGGAAATTGATCTTATCCCATGAACTTTCTACTGCTTCAGAGCTCAAGGTAAATTTACTAGCCTGTGTGTCTAAAATCTACTGCTGTGCTCAAGGTAAATTTACCATCCTAGGCATTTAATATCTAGCCTAAAAGGAATGAATTTTTTTAACATTAAGATTTGTTTGGAAGGACTTTTTTATTACTTCTTAAAGCAGTTTTCTTGTAGAAAAATTTTAATTTTTGTACTAAGAAACTGCTTTAAGAAGCAGTAAGAAAGCTATCCCAAACAATGCCTAAATGTACTACTAGTCGATGTAGTAAGTGTATTACCCTTGGCCTCCAAAAAAAGAAACCTGGGGTTCACATCTCAGAATAGAAATACTTGTAAATAAATTTTCCTTCTCATCACAGGATATCGAGAAGGAAGTCAGGAAAGAGGTAGATGATGCAATTGCTCAGGCGAAGGTAACTTGTGCTTTGCTAATGGGATTTGTATTTAATAAATTTAACATTTGTTTACTTACATTTATAATTGAGAATTCTCCATTATGCCCTTGCCATTTTGCAGGAAACTCCCATGCCTGATCCGTCTGAGTTATTTACTAATGTGTATGTTAAAGGTCTTGGTGTAGAGGTAATGAAACTTGGTGCTTCCATCTGCTACCTCTCTACTATTATCGTTTGTTTATTTATTTATTTTTGTTCAGAAAACAAATCTATAATATTACACAACACAACCTTTGGAATTCTACTATCATATTAGTCATCTAATATTTGTTTTTAATCTGAATTAAGAAATATTATTTATTGATTCTAAGCATTAGATTGAAAAAGATTTCAACTGAAATTTCTTAATGACGAATAAAAACTTTGGCAATCTAATTCGAAATTCAAATCCATAATGAATTACAGTCATAACTATCATAAGTTAAATTGAAAAATATCTTAATCAAAAGTAAAAATATTGACCATCTAATTTAAATTGATTGCAATCATTTGCAATTATCTATTGGTTCAACTTTTAAGAATAAAGTATTGTTAGGGTCAATTTTCTTCCAGCTTTCTAAAACAATTTTTTAATACAAAAAATTTTTGAACTAGAAAATTTTATACTAAAAAACTATTTTAGAAAACATCAAGAAAGTTGTCCCAAATAAAACTAAGAAACTTTGTTGAGCTGTTGAGATTTGGCGGCTCTTTCTCAATAGAACAGAAATGAACTATTTGTATGAGCGAAGACATGCATAAAATGCTCTCTTTTATTCACTAACATCTTCTGTAATTATTGTAAAAGTAGATTAAATTTATTTGGCTAAGTATCATAAGTAGATTTTTCACATCAACCAATAGCCAAGTTTCATACATTTGGTGATAAGCATGTAGATAACCTTTGCTTGGGCCAGTCGAAGTATGGTATTGGCGTATTCCTACTAATCTAACAAGCTGAAATAAGCCAAATTGATATTTGTAAACCTGAAATTGTTTTTTCATTTGCTATTGTGCCAACGGGATGATTTTATTATCTTTAAATCTGAACCACTTCTCATGCAGGCATTTGGAGCAGATAGAAAAGAGTTGAAGTCTGTTCTTCCTTGAACCAGGATTTTGTAAGCAAGTAAATTGTTTTCAAATCTAATTTCAAATAAATGTGGACGGCAAAATTTCAGTGAACTATAACTGTACGATCGATTCTTTTGTAAAAAGATCTTATGCAACTCTTGTTTATTTTTTGCTCACAGTAATATTTTTGCTATACTTCTGCAACAATACCTCTTAATTCCCCTGAGTTCCTATTGCTCCATATTTACTTGTGTTATCTAAGGAATTGTTCTTTTGCTAGACAGCCGAGATTCCCATTATGGTAAATTAATAGGAAAAGTAAAGTTGAACGGTTTTTACACAACTCACTTTGACATGTTGTTGAGAGCTTAAGCTTTCAACTAAGGCTTCGTTTGGGACGGCTTTTTTACTGCTTCTAACAGCAGCTTTTTAGTACAAAAATTAATTTTTGTACTAGAAAGCTATTTTAAGAAGCAGGAAGAAGCCGTCCCAAATGAAGCTTAAGAGGTCTTGGGTTCGAGTATTTGTCTATGCGTTATGTGCGTGAGTTTGCCTTAAATGGCCTAAATGTCCAAAAAAAAGTTACAATGTTTGAAAAAAAGTTTGACATTTTATCCAAATGGATGATTCTAACTAAAAAGTTTGACTTTTTTAATGTAACGGTTGAAATTTTATTAGAAAATCTAAAGTTAAGTGTGCTCGTATAGGAGCACTCTTGGGATTGGTGATCTATTGGGAAGTTACACCAATGAGATAATTAGGTCAAAATAGATAATATCTTGATGATTGAGAGTTTAGATTGGTGCGTTATTCTTGTTTTGTAAGACATTAATGCTGCCTTGTGAACAAGAAATTGGCTCGTTTTGTGAACAGAGTAGCATTTTGATGAGTACTTTCTGAGCTATGAAAGAATGTGGAACATTCTTGAGCTGCACTTAGCATAGAAGTTCAAATTTTCTATTTTATTTAGTATCTCGCATTGCTATTCTCTGATTTGCATTGCATGTTTGTGCTGCTGGAACTGGAAGGAGTATCTAAGCATCAAAACTGTTAAATTAATCAAATGTTTAATCTTTTCATTCGGTTTATTTCTATAATTTATATGCCATGATTGTTTTGTTTGATGTAACTTTTGGTTAGGAGTGTAAACAAGTTGAGTTGAGTCAGTATCTATCTGATCAAGTTGAACTTATTTAATTTTTTATTGAGCTCTCATTAAAAGATTTTTGGGCTTCGAGCTCCGCTCGATTGCTCGAACTTATCTGAAAAAGGTTGATAATGATTTAATTATTGAGCTCGATTTTCTATTTTTAAATTAAAATTTTCAGTTTTTTTAAAGAACTTTTACTTTTCGTATAGAAATAATTTAAAAATCTTAAAATATATCATACAATATTAATTAAATATTAAAATTTATATTTGATTTAAAGTTAATTTAGCGGTTCGATGAGTTTGCGAGCTGAATTAGGTTGCGTTTGAGCTCAAATTTGTTTAATTTATGAGTTTGAGTATAGGCTTGAGTTCGAACTTATGGTTTAATAAATTTGACTCGTAAGCTCGTTAATCGAGCCGAGTTTGAGATGATTAGTAAACCAATTCATCTAACTTACACCCCCTAATTTGGGTTATAAGTAATCTATGATTGGTAATTTAGAAAAAAACTGGATTGGGAGCTCAAGCAGTAAGAGCTTCTTGCTTTGAGTTTTGTTAGGAGCAATTTATATAAGGTAACCTCTGAAGTCATATTTTCCTGTTTGGTTTGTGTGTTGTTCATATTTGACTAGTTTCATGCTTATCGAGCTTTAAATAAACAAGCTTTATTTTCTAGATTTTTATTAGCTTTATAAATGAGTCTTATCGAGCATACTAACAAATAATTAACTAGAACATGTCCATGAATATATATAATGAGTATTTTCGTGATACCAAATGATCCAGTTCACGAACATCATTAGCGAGTGCATTCAAGCTACCAAACAAGCCCATTTATGAATAAAACGAAAAAAAAAAATTCTTATAAATAAACTTATTCATGAATACTTTAAATAAACAATCCATTAAACATGAACATATAACTCTTATTGATAAATAAATTCATTATGATGAAAGAATTTAACATATTCATTTTTTATAAATTAAAAATTATTTATTATAATAAAAGTAAGAATAAAAAAATTCTTTCAACCAACTGTTATTCACCAACACTCTATCCAGCTTAATATGAATGGGGTTTTCAGAGCGTTGATTAAACCACGTGAATTTGTTCCCAACCGAGTGCAAGTCCATCGGGCTTTGAGAGAATATCATGCTATTAAAGTCAAAAAGGGCAGATTGCGTTAAAGGAGTACCCCCCAGTTTGTCAGAGGCAAATCTACAGCGTTAAAGTCCCCCAATAGGGCCCAAGGAATGCCAGAGGCCAGGGCAATAGCACCAATAGAATCCCACAGCTCCTTACGTTCCATAGCACTATTAGACCCATAAATGACAGAAAGCTGAAATAGAACTTTGGAGGAAACAAAAATCATCCCAGAGATGATTTAAGATGAGATGTGGGTGGGAGTGAAATTCAATTTATTATCATCCCATTTAATCCAGATTCTGCCCGAGAGAGAGGAGGCAAAGTTATGACAACTTTTCTCATTACGAAAGACAGAGTGAGATTTTTCAAAAAAGGGATCTTGAAGAGCTTTTACATGAATCCTATTCTCCAATATGCACAACATATCCAGTTTGAAAGACTGAGAGAGACGCTTACAGCAAAGGACTTTATCTGGACGGTTAAAACCTCGTATATTCCAAGCAGCAATAGAAGGAATATACATTAAGAATTTGTTGAATGGGATTTTTTCCCCTGTTTCCCTTTAGCAGGTTTTTTGACAAGAGCAGATTGATCCTGTTTAGACTTATCTTTTTGTTTCTATTTATTGATTTTCACCACTTGTTCTACCATATCTTCCAATTGCTCTTCCATATTAATTTGATCACCCACTTCGATTAACACATCAAACCTGTTGGGGGAGGTAATCAACTTCTCTTTCTACTTACCCAAGGTACCGAATTGCAAGGAGGAGGAGGAGGTCGAAGCCACCTCTTCCTTATTAGGAGAATTGAGGTTAGGAATACTAGACCCTAATAATTCCTGAGAGAGGTAAACGGGAGCCTGGTTATCAACCAAGGGTAAAGCAGAATTATTGTGTTCTTGGTCAATGGGAGGAGTAGGAGAATGGGACTGATATAGCATGGGTTGACCTATGCTATTAATTTGGATGTTGTAGGAAGTAGACGGAGGTAACTTAGTCGGTTCTGACACAGGGGGAGCTCTAAGTTTGAAGTCTTCTTTAGGAATGCCTGGAACTCCCCTTTCTGCTAAAACTCCTACCACGAGTCTTAGGCATTTATTTACCTTGCGCCACTTCCCCAGACTCCTCTGGTTTTAACGGACAAAGAGAAGAAAAATGCATAAGAGACTTACAGTGATCACACGGAAAAGGTCTCCATTCATATTGCACCTTTAAGCAGACAACATCCCCATCCAAAGACACTTTAATTTCATCCGGATATGTAGCTTTGAAATCCACCAGAACACAGATGCGGGCATAGGTAAGTCGGGTCTTTTTCTCTGTCAAGTTATCAGCCGCTAAAGGGACCCCGATTTTGCTAGCAATCCTTGAAATCCCCTCAGAATTCCAACATGCAAGAGGTAAGTCATGAATCTTGACCCATATCGGCACCGTGTTAAAATTATCTCTCTTGGGCTTGAATTTGGGATGCCATTTTTGTAGGATGAACGGTCTTCCCAGTAAAAACCACACACCCCGCGACCATATCATCTCATAGTCTTCCGAACAAGAGAAGCGAATGAGGAAAAAACCTTCACTGAGAGAAAGCAGCTGTATCGATCCTTTTAGATTCCAAGTCTTCTTCATCGCTCCTAACAAAGCTTCATAGAACGGCCTCCTTCCTATGGAATAGCCAACCAGACACATGGCCCAGTCCTCGCCTCCCTTAGTCAGCTTATCATCACTAAAAGGCACTATCTCCTGCTCAGACGGGAAGTGAGAGAGATTGAGAGCTTTTGGAGCAGATGCATCAGGAGCAAATACCTTATTCCAATCCTTCGGCGTGAACTTGGCAAACATTCCAGGAGACTGGACAAGCGGAGGGAAGTCAGCAGCTAGGAGTCCAGTGTCCATGAGGGCAAGGGAAGGAAAAACCTCCGGCAGAGCCGGAGATGGAGGAGGAGGAAGAAGGAAAAACTATCCGGAGAAGGAGGCGGCGGAAGAGAAAAAACCCAAACCCCGCAAGTCTGAATAAGATTTTAAATTTGAATTAACTTAGAGAACTCTAAGATTTTTTAATGCTTTTTTATGCCACCCCTATCATCCACTTTGCCATTTTGATTGCTACTTTTGTTATTTGGTTTGTCCCACTTTATAGGACAAGTTCTTTTTTAATCAAAGTAGATAACATAAAAATTAATCTTATTGAAAGATTTTATTCTTATCTTTGATTTTTTTTTTATAATAGAATTAAACTTTTTTGTGATTAGTACTACATTATCCATGCTTAGTTATTGCTATTATTAAAATTTTTCATCTTCATATCTATTTATTTTCCTATAATATTTTTAACACTATTCTTGATTCATTGCCCTAACTTTTGCTCAAGTTCAATCAAAGAACCAAGAAAAAGGTTAATAAAATAATTACATAAATCCACAGCTTAAATCATATTTATAACCTTAGTATTCCAAGATTCATGCAAGAGTTTAAGAATCTTAATTACTTTCTCCAAGTTATAATATTGTTGACCTAAAGAATTCAAAATAGTTATAATCTTAAGGAATCTTATATACATATAAGTTTCAGTTTCACTAAGTTTCATTTGAAAATAGTTCATAATCATGAACAAGCCTCTTTATATGAGATTTTTTAACCTTTATAAGAAATGCTAAGTCGATCCTACTTTTTTTTACTCATTTTATATATGAATATATGCATGTAATCACTCTCATTCACATTAACCATGTGTCTAGTAATTTTATAGAATTTCAACCAATTTACCAATTAGAATTTCAATAGGTTGTGCATAGCCAACTTCTACAAAGTTCATATACCAAATAAATTGTATAAAAGTAGAAATTTTCACTTTTTCAAAAAATAAATGATAAGTCATCAAATAATAGAGGTATATTAATATATTATTCTTTTCACACTATTAATTTTT